TTCAACTAAAATGAACTGACACAATAAATTAGCTAGACTATTTCATCTGGAACAAACTATATTGACAGTATACTATTCCCAAATTACATTGAAGGTTGAATAATAAGGAAAAAAAACATATCTAGTATGTTATATATGGCTTAAAGAGCCTACCCTTGTAAAAGTTTAATTGTTGGTACTTTTTAATGAAATTGACAAAGCATGACAAGAGTGTATGTCTGTCGGTTCACCTGTTATCTTCCATATAAAAAAAAGCAAACGAACATACACATGTTTACAAAACAAATGTAAATTTAAGAAGGAACGTAAACAAAATAAAAGAGGACGAAATACGCATATGGTTTTGGGGAGTTGAATTTTCAGTTTTGTACCGTAATGATTGGTAGTTGAGATCAGTCAGCATCTAATTGATTTATTTGTTGCTCAATCCAGTATTACGTATCACTTTAAACATAGTTGGTCCAGCCTGTAATTACTAAAACAAGGCAACACTAGGTTTTTTTCCATCTCGTAAATCGATTAAAAAGGAACAAATCGAAGTTTGGCATTAGTCAAAAATTAATGTATGTATGCTGAGAAGAATGTATCAAAGTGTACATAGAACTTTTCAATAGAATATAATATTCAAAGGAACAATCATCTCAATTGTAAGTATCCACAGGAAGCATGCTATACTTACAAAGGAATACAATACTCATAATGTTGAATAATCTATACGAAAAAGAAGAATATTATATAAATAACACATAGCTGAGAGGGTGATAGAGCAGATTGTTACCCCGAGAAAACATTGTCAACTGAGTGTTAGAACACTTTTTAACAAATCTGTTTTCTTCCACCTCAATACCACAATCAATTTTGGTAAATTAGTTAAAACATTTAATTTAGTTTATAGAAAGAATATTGTTATATACTGTAGTAAGAAAACCAGAACGGGTTCAAACAGAAAAACTTTGAAAGCAGAGAAAACTGTGCATTTAACAATCAGCATGACTTTATCAGTTGACAACACGAATACTAAAAATCCAGGCTTAAAATAAGGCATAGGTACTTTAATTCAGTCACGGACCCGCGATGTCGCGTGGGTCTACTAGTATTACTAAAATAAGCAACAATAGTTTATGGTCACTTCTCTCAAATCGATAAAGAAAGGACAAATCAAGGTTCAAGATAATGAAAACATAATGTATTGACGCTGATTAGAATGTATAACAGTGTAATGTTTTAAGCTGTGTATGTCTATTGAATAGTGAAACATGTCCTTAAAAGTTTACAATACAATTTAATTCACAACGGAACAATCATCTCATTTGTAAGTTTCAACAGGAAGCGTATACTTAAAGATAATACCAACAATGATGGAAAATCTATACTTAACACAGGAAACATTTTCGATTTGTAGGAATGTTATTAAATTTCTCTGTTTTTTTTCCATTGATACGGATTGGTTTAACATCAGTTAGCATCTAATTGTTTTATTTTAAATAGCTACTGATTTCCTTGAAAGCTTTCAATAGAACTTAATTTTGAAAAAAAACTCCATTGTAATTATCCACAGGAAGCATAAACCTAAAGATGAATATCATACCCATAAAAATAATCTATACTGTTGATTCATTTATTTTTGTGGGTACCAATTTTCGTGGATTGCGGAAAAAAACATGCCTTTTCGTGGATATGTATTTCGTAGTTTTGCCAAATTCTGCATACAACCTAATAGACAATTTGTAATTCGTTGAACATTTGAATTTGTGGTTCGCCTGTACCCAAGAAAACCACGAAAATTGGTATCCAACGAATAATAATGAATCCACAGTACTTAAAACTGAAAAAAATCACGATAAATAGGAATGTTATCAAAATAAAAGTGAACAAAATACGCGTAAGGCTTTGCATATTGAGATATTCATACATTGAAAAAACTCACCACCACACAAATTAGAATTAATTAGTAATTCTGCAAGATAAATAATAGCACAGACACAAAACGATTTGTAGCAAGATTTTTATACAGACTGAAAAACAACAATAAGGTTAGAACCATTGGTTGTATAAGATTAACACTCGTATGATTACAATACATAAGAACGCTAGTAATAATGAAACTGTGAGTTACAGGGCCGGGAATCTTTCTAATCGTTAATAATTACTTACCATTTGGACAAGTATGCGGTAGTTGCCTATGTGATAAAGGAGTTTTGTTGAAGTGGATGATCAATTTGTCGTCACAAAACCAAAGATGAAATAAGTGATCGAGTCTTTTACAGTGTATTTTCCAACCAAAACTGTCGAAATTGTATGTCAACATGGTCAACGGAAAACACATAGTAAATTCTTCATAAAAGTGATATTTTTCCTTTAAAAGAAACCTGTTTTATGTATATGTAGTTGGTTAAAATGCAGAAAATTAAGTTATAAAGGAGTTAGACCACCATTATTTTCTGATTTCTGTCTTTGTTAATGATAAGCATGACTATAGCTTCATCCTGTCCAGTACTACAGTCAAAATTTCACATAATATGTAATTGCATTTAAGATAATAACCATCACTGGAAGTTTATAAATCAAATTGTCACCCCTTTTTCCTGTTCATAAACTTAAGTAACCATGTCACCACAAGTTTTCAAAATATTTGATAGAAATACCAAATGTAAATAGAAGGAAGTTGGATGTTGGATGTGTACTGATTGATATCTTAGTCTCAGATGCATGATTTTTTCATAAGTTGGTATTGACTTTGAACTAGTGTCAGTACATTGTTGTAACTGAAAGTACTCTCATATAGTAAGTGTCTTTTTGTTGTGGGGATTTATAAGTACCCTGCCACGTCAACTCTGTGTTTTTGTTAAATGTATTTCTCTTTGTATCCATCTGATCAGTTGAGCTTTTCCAACTGATTTTTATAGTTTGCTCTTATGTTGTACTGTTACACCACTGTCCCAGGTTAGGAGAGGGCGCCCGCTAACATGTTTAACCTCGCCATATTCTGTATATATCATACTTGTTTTTCGTTCATTATTTTGTACATAAATAAAGCAGTTAGGTTTTTCGTTTTTATTGTTTTACAGCCTTTTATAGCTGACTATGCGGTATGTACTTTGCTCATTGTTGGAGGCCGTACGTGTATACGGTGACCTATAGTTGTTAATTTCTGTGTCATTTTGGTATTTCGTTGAGAGTTGTCTCGTTGGCAATTATACCACATCTTCTAATTTTATAACATAACAAAAATATCAAACTCCAAGGAAAATTTAATACGGAAAGTCCTTTATCAAATGCCAAAATAAAAAGCTCAAACGCATCAAACGAATGGAAACAAAACTGTCATAGAGTGGTGCTTTGAATCAACCAAGACATACGTTTATGATTCAGACATTATTTTTTTTTGCAATGAAAGACAAGGCTAACTTCTTATTACTGTCACATTCAAGTCAATACTTTTCTATCCTTTTTGTATGACACCGGATGTGACGTAGTATGTTTTGGTTGTATTACACCTTAAAAGCATTACGTGCATGTTTTTCATTATTTCTAATAAATGCAATTATGTCAAGGGCAGGTTTTCAGTCTCCGTTTATTTTCGACGAAAAAAAGAACTTCGTATCTAAAGAAAGTACACATGGTGTTAGATAATAAATATCATCAACAGGACAATTTTCAAACTAAAAGTGAAACAAATACATGTACATATCAGGCTAAACAATTTCTTGTTTATGGATTTATGACATTTAACATGTTAAATGAAACCAGTCTGGAGTAACTAATAATTTCCGAACACACACTGACAAACTTGTGTGATAATAGATATTGAACAATTATAGATAGAATTAGAAAAAGAGATAATAAACTAATTCTGAAGTAGTAAAGACTGTTTGTAACACTACTTTATGTGTTCAGATATTCATCTTGATGCTATTTATAGTTGATTTTACTGAATATTCTCCCTGGATATTTAGTGGTACATTTAACAGGGATACTTGATTCGTACTGTCTACATGTTTAGTTTTCCAGGATTTGTTTTTTGTTCGTCTCTCTCTCTCTCTCTCTTTTATATTTAAGCAACGCTGTTGGTTTTTTTTTTACTTGTCGAGTTTGTCCTTTGTATCATTTCACTTTTAATTTGCACAGTCGTATCTCTTTATGATCCATTTTGAAAATTAAGGCAGTCGTGTACCTTTTTGAGAATGAACAAAAAAGTATATTATTCAGACAGTCGTTTCAAACAAAAACGACATTAAAACAAATGCTCAAATCATACATTTAGTTAGTTCTTGCATCAGATAATAATCAAAGTTTAGAAATCGCTTGAGCAGAAAATGTCATTATCACAATGATAATTAGCTTTCAAATTTGTTTTTTTTTTCACCGAATCATACTAAAAAATGAACATACATTGCATATTGATCTGTAGTAAAGAGTTAAAATTGAACAGATCAGGAACATCGTTTATCAAAAAAAAAGTAGATAGTACTTTTCTATTTAGCCATCTCGGTGACTCATTAATGTTTCTCATATAGTTGCATTAACTACAGTCGAACCTCGTTGTGTCGAACTCGGATGTGTCAAAAACTCTGATGAGTCGAAGCAATCTCTAGGTCCCGTTGAAAATCCTGTTTGATTAATGCATAATTACCTCTGATGAGTCGAGCTCGGTTGATTCGAATACTCAGTCGAGTAAATTTTATAGTCTCGTCGATGTAAAATTAATGTAAATTGTCCCCGATGTCTTGATGCTCGAAAGTAAAAATTTTCGAAAGATGCAGAACTAATGATAAAAATACAAATCGGATGTATTTCGTAAGTAATCGTATCATTTTCAAAAAAAGATTAAAGCTGAGTAAACATACTTGTTTGTATAACAGTTAAATGACATGTTTATGGTGACCGGTAATTAACACTTTTGTTGATCGTCCAAGCGGAACATTAGTGTTTTCAACATATTTCAACTGAAATAAAAACGAAACGAGTTTAAATGACCCAAGCCAAGATTAAAAGAATCGTTATAATTAAAATTCATTTAATGACAACAAATAAAGGATTAAGACAATTATGATTAATGCATAATAATTTAATGTGAAGCAGACGTCCTTATCATAGACCGTTTAGAACTTGTTTTGTTCCACGAGTGATTTCCTTATATATAGTAACTGACCTTTGTAAATTTTTGTGTACAGTATTGATTTTATGTGTGCATGACTTGTTTCTGTAATTGTGTGTTTAATAATTACGAAGGACCAACAATAAATGGAAACAATCATAAAGTGTCATATAGAAAAAACACACTGTTCAAAGTATCTAGTTTACACATTTCTCGTACCGTATTTCATGCATTCGAAATTATGACGACAAACTCGACCTCGGATTAGCCGAACCTCTTATCAGTTACGGGCCTTTGGGCTGAGACATGTTCATGTTTGGCTGGACATGCAATCTCAGCAATACCACAACCAGCAATGACTGATCCACAAGCCCCGGCAACAGCAGTACCACAGACAGTTATACATGTTCCAAATGAAAAAAAAGCACAGATAGCACAACCTACAGTCGCCAAACCACAAGTAGCTCCAAGAGTACCGCAACTAATGTCCAATGCTTCTTTGTCACATGATCTCTTTTTTCTACTATGTGTCTGAGTCATTCCAACATGTGTGTAGTTATACTCCAGTGCATCTGCGATGACTTTCCCAAACTCATTCTTGGAAAATAGTTTGGTAATATCCCCCAAATCGTTGACAGTGTCCAGCAATTCTTTTGGCTCATATGGACATTTTGAGTACTTTGATGCACAGACTTTATGATCTTTGACGGAGTGTCCATTTGCAGCTGCATTTAAAACATGTTCAATAGTTGGATAGCCAGCTAATAATTTCTTGGCTTCTGCATATATCAAACTGTAACGATCTTGTCCCTTGTCAGTTGCAATTTTGTTCAGGAGACCTAAAGGGGTGCTCAACATTTTATTGCGTTCGGATTCTGGTAATGCAGCAAGTATACACATCAATTCTCCTACACATTCAGTAGTACGGTCGTGAAAATTGATTACTTTGTCTGCAATAGCAATCACAGTTTTTACATTTTGAAGCTTCTTCGAATCATTTGCCAATGTTGTTCCAGAGATAACCATTACAATGGCAAACCAACAATATATGGAATTCATCCCTCAATTATTTCTGCAATTTAAAGATTCAAATAAAGATATTTAAAGTTATAAATTACATTTATCCTGTTATAAACAAATCATATTTTCCTTCCAAGTCTATATTAGCTGTGTATATTCATGTTTGCGCTTTTTGTAAAGTTTGCTGTTGCAATCATATTTTTACGGAATATTTTATACGGTAGTTAAACATTAACAGGTATCCAAAAAGAATGGTCATTTACAATAAGCATTGGAATAGTTCTTTGTTGAATATCAGGTAGGATTCTCAATCTTAATTGGGAAATAAGCTTTATAAAAAAATCTTGGATGTTTTTGTTCTGTTGTAAACTCTTGTTTCTTTCTGTTTTCAATTGTTTCCAAACTAAAATGAAAGAACTAAATTGTTTCCTATAAGTTTGTCAATCAGAAGCAAACCAGAAGGTACTGAACATTGTAAAAAAACAACCACGAAACAATTCGTCTCTTTTTAGCCCAATTGAACAAAAGTCTACATCAATAGTGCATAATAATCATAGGAAAACATTTTGTAAAGATACCAACAAAATTTATTTTTTTTGACACCAAGGTTTGTTTTCTAAATATAATATATATTGCCCTTTTCACTGTCGTGTGTTTTTTATTGTATAATATAAAAAATATGCTTGACACACTTATTTGTCTATTAATATGCACTATGCATGTTGGCCTTTGATAAGCTGGTTCAGAAAAAGACAATGCTTAATGCATGTGTCTTTTAATGGTAATTCACTAACACCAACATATTTCTTAATTTGTTAATAATGTACTGTATACATACCTTTATTGTTTATTTCATTTACAATAACAAACTGAGATTACCATTTCATATTTTTTTTCATAATATCATATTTCCAACTAAAAAAGACGCCAGTTTTTTATTAATCTCATTTTTCAAAATAGAAAATTCGGAAATCAAGTTTGTTTGTCTTATTACTTATTGTTCTAAAAAGTACTTGACAACTGACTGTCTGTATTTTTCACGAAGATAAGACACATTTCTTCCAATTTTCAAAGATTAAAAATTTCTTACCAGCTTTTACAAATTAATTCACCCAATTTGCTTTTTAATATCTGAGATATTTTAGGATTTTCTACTAGTCCGCTTTCAGTTTTAATCCAAATTAACTTCTCGGTAACAATCCTGAATTGTTTTATTATTTGATCGTTGTTAAATGGTATCTATACATTAACAAAAAACTAGTCAAATCTGTAGGTACAATGTTCCACTTTTAGATTTTTCAGTTTGAAATAATTTTTATCCGTGATGCTTGAAGCGATTGAAAGTAACAAATAAAATATACCATATTAAGACCCCCTTTTCGTATGTGTTTATATTAGTGCTTCTTTTCACTTTATCTGTCTTTCCTTTACATATAAATTTAAACAACACGATTCAATTTCTTTGTTGTGATTTTACAAGCTTAAAAGATGTATTTTGGGAAAATTAATGACCCAATTTATTTACATTTTCCCCAATCCATATTCCTCCATTTCTGTTTATATTTTGTTTACATTAAGCCAGACAGAGAACCATATAAATTATTATCGTTGAAAAGAATGGATATTTTGGGATTTGATCTTTTTTTGTCTATTTGAATCTTTATTTCTTTGATGTAAATATTACTTCTTAGTCTTAATGCCATAATTTCGACTAAAAAAAGACCCCCCCCCCCAAAAAAAAAAAAAATAATAAGAAGATTAAAAACACCCTTGACGAATATTTGTACAGTAAAAATAAACCGATACCAACCCGTTGTTTAAAACAAGTTTATACTTTTAGTATAGAATGTTTGCACCTATCATGATTAATCAAATCAAAAAATGTTTCTGTCTATTAAAGATGAAATATGCTTTAATAAAATCTACAAAATGTATATCTCCATAATTTGATATGTTTTGACCTTTTAGGTAATATTTTAAATACTCAACATTAAATAACTTTAAATGTTTGAAAAATCCACATGTATTACGTTTATAATACTGTAAATTCAGAAATATTTGCGTGCATTTATTATTGCGATTTTTTTTCATTTTAGACTAAAATGAGATTTAAATTTTTCCGATATTGACAAAAATTCTGTTTAATTTATATAAAAAATTTCAAAATGTGAGTTTAAATTATTGCGATTATAAACCTGTCGCATTTTTTGCAATAATAAAAACAAGTAGACAGACAGTACCTGTGAATTGATTATTCCAGAAGGCTGTATTTGAATGCTCCAGAAGTCTGTAAGTTTACTGTTTGCGTCTATAGCTTTAAAGGGTCTATTTTATAGCCAGCTTTGTTTTGAAAATTGTTTTAATTTACGTGTGGGTCAAAGTCATGTACTTCAAGTCTCTTCAGTAATTGTCGTGTATCTTCCATACATTCTTAATGATATAATTTATAATGTCACAATTTTATGTCAAAACAGAATGAAATAAATTTCAGGGAAAACGTATGTCAGATTTCGAAAAATATTACGTATTATGGAATACTTACACACTTGAAACTGTTTATTTAAAATATAATCCTTCTTACAGAACCTGAGTAAATTCAAAAATGCATGTATATTGAATTTATAATTTACCCATATACTTCATTATTTGTGTGTGAAATAAACCATTCTAAATCGAACACCTGTCAATTCGAAACAGAAAGTCTTGTCGCACAGTGGTTTAGTTTGTGCATATTTTATTGCACATGCATTTACTTGATACTAAGGGTAAATTTATTGGCTTCATTGAAGAAGATTAAATGTCAATCACCTCGTAATCAACACTGAAGTTAGGGTATTTAAATGAAAATTGAAAATCAATATCGAAAGACAAAAAAAAAAAAACGTGGCATGAATAGAAAAAGACAAACGACAACCAACGACAACAATTAGAGTAAACTAAAGATAAGCAACAAAAACCCCAATAAAAACTGGAAGCGGATTGAAGTGCTTCAAAAAGAGTGAGCAGTTCCCGCCGTGTAATAATAAACTTCTTAATCATAAAAGTCATTTTACATTATGTAACATGTTATCAGTAAAGATACTTAGAATATTTGCACAACAGCATTTTGGAGATGCGCTTCCTAAGTTTGACAAACAACATCAAATGATGCATCAGTAAAAGGGGAATGCACGATACCGTGCCTAATCGATAGTTGCATAAATTATCAGATATGTATGCAGGAATAAGGTATGGAATAACATTTTTATGTTCAAATAGCTCGAAAACGTATTGTGTTGAATCCATTTTAAACGATGAATCCAATACAAATTAACGAACAAAACTCGTTAACGACAAATGTTAAAATCATTAGAGCCAGTATGTAAATCATCCGAGCCAGTATTGTAAATCATCCGAGCCAGTATGTAAATCATCCAAGCCAGTATGCAAATGTGTAAACGAATAGGTCAAAACATGTCAAGTTATTCAAAGATCAAACCAGAAACAGTACCTGCAAAAAAAGAATTGAGACAAACACTATATTTGGGTCATCTTAAAAGAAACTGCACACAAAATATAAATCAAAAATTCCAACAACACAGAAAGTTTGTGGAGAAAAAAGGGATTATTTCTTTTAAACAAAATAAGTTGTCGAATAAATCAGTTGATCAATGTTGTAGTCCTAAAATCGGTTTGACATGACATTTTGTCGATGTTTTATAATAAACTGATAAGTATAATTTCAAACAATAATGTCATGAATGACGAACTAGTAGATTAACATTTGTATACGTCAATCTGGTTGTTGTAGCATTTTGAAATAGGAATTGCGCCTTCTGACCCAGTAAAACTACAGGTGATGTATGCGTAGTATAGTCATCATTATCAAGGCATGTTCAGCTTTTTTTTTTTTTTATGTTTCTAAAATCGCAATTTTATGTCATTTTACTTAGTTTCCTTTGTTACCTATTCTGACATTGGACTCGGACTTCTTTTCAACTGAGTTTTAATATGCCCAATGCTGTGTGTTTGTTTTTTTCTACATTGGCTAGAAGTATATGGATAGGGTTGATATCTCACAAAACATGTTTAACCCCGCCGCATTTTTCCGCCTGTTCCAGGTCAGGAGCCTCTGGCGTTTCTTAGTCTTGTATGTTTTTTTTTTTATTTTAGTTCATTTATATGTTTTACAGTTTGGTGTGACGTCCATGTTCATTGAACTAGTACATATTTTGTTTAGGGGCCAGATGAAGCGTGTTTCCGGGTGCGAGATTTTCTCGCTGTGTTGAAGACCCATTGGTGGCCATTGGCTGTTTCTGCTCTTTGGTCGGGTTGTTGTCTCTTTGACACATTCCCTATTTCCATTATATGCAAAATTTTGTAATTATTGTTTTCTTTTCGTCGTTCGTGTTGCTTAAGGTGTTTACTGTTTTCGTTTGAGGTTTGTTCTATTCTATTGGGCCTTTTTTTGCTTTGTACCCAATCTTGCCACACCTAAATTTTCTTTTAAAAGCAAGTACCTATAATTTAATTATAGTTGTGTTGATTGATGAGGAGCCAAAATAGAATACATGTACCTGTGTTTGCGCTAAGGCCCAATAAATATTTTGCCTGGCTAAATTTATTGCGCACGTAGTTGTTTTGAACACTTAACATATATCATGTCAATATGATTAATATATTTACTTCCTAAAATAACCCTTTGTGTATTCTGCACATGAGCTGACTAAACGAAAATGGAAAATTTATATCAAGATGTTTGAAAACACTCCAGAAGCACCTGCGTTATTAATGTTTTTTGTTTGTTTAATTCATTCTTTAGTTTTCTATGCAAAATTTGGTAATTAATGGGTTTTTTTTCCTACGTTAGTGTTGCTCAATGTGTTTACTCTTTTCTTTTTAGGTTTGTTCTAATTGCAACCTTGGCAACCCTTTTTTTTTGTAAATTTGAACATTCAATATTTGATATCTGTGGTTTTCGGTCATACGTGAAAATGAGTGTATTAAATAACAGTTTGATTAACAATGTGACCGGTCCTTCGTGTACTTTTAGATGTGATATTAAGACCAAATTTTTTCTTGCTGGAATATGGCTAATGTATGTCAATGATATTTTTGTTTCAATGTGAACTTGCAATTTTAGAAAGTGACATTATAGGAGGATCTGTTTTTGGAGTTCAATAAAATTTCGTATTGTTTTACATTTGTCATTTCGGAGCCTTTTATAGCTGAATATGCGTTATGGGCTTTGTTCATTGTTGAAGGCCGTACGGAGACCTATAGTTGTTAATTTCTGTGTCATTTGGTCTCTTTTTGATAGTTGTCTCATTTGCAATCATACCACCTCTTCATGTTTAATAACGATAAAAACTGAATAGCAGAGTCCTGCCTTTGGAGAGATACATACAGAATGTGTCATGGTTGATCATTTTTGTAAACGCTAAACCTACCATCTAACCTGGGAGAGAAGTGTATCAGCACAATATAAGACCAAAAATATAATAAAAAAAACAGAAATTAACAACTATAGGCCTCCGTACAGCCTTCAACAATGAACAAATCCCCATACCGCATATTCAGCTATAAAAGGCCAATGACAAATTTAATACAATTCGGACGAGAAAAGTAACGGCCTAATTTATGTACAAAATAATGAACGAAAAACAAATATGTAACACAGCAGTTCATAGTTGTTATAACAGTCAAGGAAAATAGGAAATACCATGATATTGTAAACTTGCATACTTTTATCAACAAAGACAACCAGTTGTTTTCAAATAGTCCGTTTCTATGTATGTTGGCGTTTGTTTTTGTAGCAATTCAGTGTTTTTGTTGTTCCGTTGAGTTCCTCTTATAGTTGATGTGTGTCCCTTGGTTTTGGTTTGTGACCCGGATTTGTTTCAGTTAAATCGATTTATGACCATTGAACAGTGGTATAATTTATTAAGATCTGGTATCAAAGTTACCTTTATTTATTAAGATCTGGTATCAAAGTTGCGGTGTCTTTCTTAAACGCCTCTGGTTAAATCGGACATGGGAGATAACAACTTGTGTCTTTAACAGAAATTGAAAGTAAGAAAACCCATTATTATTAAAGTCAAAATTTAAAAATAGAAATGTGTATAACAAACTCTTATTTCCCTATTCTGTTTACGTTCCTTTATTTTAAAATCCGTTAAAACAAAATGCATTGTATTGATATTTTATCTTTCACGTCTTTAAATGTTTCAAACGCAGAACTTAAATTCATTTCATGTGTTTTGTTTGATGAATATTATATTGGCCCTATTTGTAAACTTTTACCAATAGTGTAACAGAAAAAAGGACGTTCATGTTTTATATATTAGTTATTATTATCAAATTAGAATTAAATGTTTTCATTGTTGTTCCTTTTTTCTGTCGAAAAATATGTTTTGATATATCTAACTTTTGTTTTCTCGAAAGTACTATAACGTGATTTTTTAAATATTGTTTTGAGTTATTTTGTCCTGATTTTTTAGTGTTTGATTTTTGATGAATCAATAATATTCAATATCTGTAAATCGAAAATTGACTTTCCCGTCGTCCTGACATTTTTAGAACTATAACAAACATATACAATGATTTTGTACCATTACCATTTCATGTTACTCTTTAGTTTGTAACTACTCTTTAAACAAATCTTTACACGATATACTTGCAACAAGATGATGAGAAATAAATAACTAAAAGTCATTGAAACAATTTTACTTTAAAGATGTTAGTGAAAAAGGAATCAATGAAATACCGAACTCCAAGGCAAATTTAAAAAAGATGAAGTCCATTAAAACTGACATTATCAAACGCTTTAAAGAAGATCATAAAGAAGATGAATTCCCGAGTTTATCTTTAAAATTAGAAGTGAAACATAAATTTGTTATTTCTACAACCGATGTTTAATATTTAGTAGATATTAGTCATGTTCAATCACATATTTCAAAAATCAAGAAATCCACATAAATAGAAAGTGTTTAGCATTGCAACCTTTAAAACAAAATGTAAAATGGCAGAAATGAGCTACAGCTTATGCCAACAATGAATATGGTTCATGAATATTCCATCCTTTGTGCCTGTGCTAAGTAGTTTTATGCAAACAGCGTTTCAATTTAAAAGCAGTATTTGTAAAAACATATATATTGTGTAATTGTCAAACAAATCAAAGTACTTAATACTTAAACTTTTGTAAAGATAATTTCATGTCGGGTTATTTATCTTAGTCCTGCAATCAGGCACCTATTGTACAAATAACAGGTTTACAAATACATTTTTGCTTTATTTGTACTTGTACAAATAAAGTCTCCTGTTACCCCACTTCCATGTTGAGCAAATGGTAATGTGAATA